TCGCTCTCCACCAAAAATTGAATGGTTTTATTTCATATTAGTTGTGTCTGTGTCAGTGTCGTATTTGATTTCACATCTTTGGTTCGATCTTGTTTATGGTGGACATTATTACTACGCTTATGTATTATTACCAATTTTATATGGCCGTGTGATCCACCGTATTTTTTCAACGGTCGTTCTATAAATTTTTGATTAACATCATAAAAACAAAAATGACACACTTGTACATGAAACAGTAGGTAATGAACTGTAAATGCGGGCGGTTGCGCTGTCAGGCGAGCGAGCGAGCGAGCGATTGCGCGAGCGGATACTTCCGGATTTGCGCGGTCGAAAAAAAAGCGGAAATTGCGCGGTCGAATTGAACAAAGCGAGCGAAAAAAAAAAGCGATCGAAATCCGGAAGCGGGCGGGAGGTTGGGCGAAATGTGTACTGTATATATACAAGACAAGCTGCTTTCTGATTGGTCCGGCTGTTAGGTGTTAGGGTAGCCAATCAGGTACAATCTTTAAGTCGCTTTGAATTGGCTTTTTGATTGTTGCTTCCTTTTTAGATTCAAATATAAAAATATGCAAATATAAAAATAAATGTGTCGTGTGGTTGGCATAGCAACAGATTACATTTATTCAACTTTCTATACAATACCTATAAAACTTATACAGGTCTATATCATTGTTATGCAAATAAAGCATGTGTCACAGCCAATAGGATTACATCTTTCTGCTCATTTGCATGGAACTTGCATAGAAAAGATTGAGACAGATTATGATGTATGGAGATCGAGACTGTTTGTTCAGGATTTTTTTTTTCGTGTATACTTACGTTGCTAGGATTGATAATCCTATCTTGGTATCTTCTTTCAAATGAAACGATTTGAATTGCAGTAGTTTTTTGTGGAATGGGGAAGCCATTTCAGTCAAGAATTGACTTATTACCGGAATGATATCAGTTTTATACACTTTTTTTTTTCTGAGATTGTTGTGTAACAATACATTCTTGATAACCAGTGTATAATGTGTTATTATTTTAGCTTAGATTTTGACACATGCCTACAGAACCGTTAGCTGGATCTAACTAATAGTATGTGAATCCTTTATAAACATCGTATATTACTTTATATTTTTCAAACTTTTGATTTAATAGACCCATATATGTTTAAATTGTTATCTTTTGGTATATATATATATATATTCATTTGAATAAATCTTTTGTTGAGTTTGCATCTCCTACACATTTCTGAGATTTCTCTTTTCGTTTGCGTGTTTAGCATACTGGGGTAGTTTTTTTTTCACAATATTTTTTTTTTTTTTTTTGTTATTCCTGCTCTAGTGTCAATTCATTCATTACTGTGTGTGAACTAATCAGTTTGCGATTCTTCGTCATGCGATTATCTCTGAATGATGTTGATTATATCTCATTGTTGACGTTTATAAGTCATGTCATTTTACAACGATTTGTTATCTTCATTTTCTCAGCCATTATTTATTTGTTAACCCTCGAAAGTAGCTCAGATTATGTGATACTGCTATCAAATTATTCATGTATTAAAAACAAAGAGGGGAAATTCAATAAGCAATCTGTTTGAGGGTGCTATATATGATTTTAGATAGTAAGATCACAGTCAGCTGGTGATATTTACTTATATGGTGCAGTCATCTTAAATATTTCTTAAAACTAAAAAAAAAAGACTTTCTAGTCGTATTCAAGATGGCTGCCCCATATAGTAAATATTGGTAAATTGGTCACATTTATTATCACAGGTACACCAGCTGTCTGTGAGTATGATGTTCAATTCTAAGTACCATGTTTGTTCTATTGGTAACACACATGTTTACGTAAATGCACTTCTAATAGAACAAATTTGGTATATAGATTTCTAGTAGTCAAAAGAAAGGTTAATTAGTTTTACCTTGTTGTGATTAGTTGTGTTGCTATTAAAAATGACCAATAACTGTTTGTTTTTTTAGTTTTTTTTTTGTCATCGTTGATTTTTGAAATTAAGCGACAATCTATGCATCTGAGCGGTTATAGTTGTAATTATACTTTTGTCAATATTATCAATATCTACAAATACATATACTAACATTTTTCAACTTTTATCATCAAAAACATTAAGTAATGTCAAATTCTGACATTTGTGTCAAATTTTGAGAACAGCTATAAATTTAAAAACTGTGTGGTTCAAAATAAACGTTTCTGAATAAAACAAAAATCTTTGGAATTTGCATATTTATTTTCTCACATGAAGGGATGTTTATTCACCTACTGTCATTTGAGTCTATATTCACCGGTAGATTTTCTTTAGTAGTAACGTCTTCTATAACCAGAATTTAAAACTTGGCGATTGTCTGATGAATAGACAGTCGACCGACCACTCAACTGATTTTTGAACTGGGAGTTTTCCGTTCATCATTGGCTAACTCTGTCACAGTCAGCAGGTTTACAAATGGTAGTAAGATACATGAAATTGTCGGTATATTAGTGGGGGTAGCCATCTTGAATTGTTAACATAAAGATTTCTATTGATTTCATCCCCTCCCCCCTCCCCCTATAATTGATTTATTGTATTCCATTTATTATATTACCATTCTCAACATTTCAATTTATACTTTATTAGTCCCCGTTCATACGAAGTCCGAAAACGGGGACTTGTGTGTGTGCGTGCATGCGTGCGTCTGTGCATTCGTCCGGACCTGTATCTTAGAAATGCCTGGACCAATCACAATCAAACTTCACACATACATCATACATGATATCATACATATGCACATCAATTTGTTTCACGATCTGATTCAAGATGTCCGAATGGCGGCCATTTTTATACTAAAAATCATCAAAATCAAGCATTTCCCAGCTGTTTACAGATGGATTTTGTTCAAACTTATATATACATTAGACATTATGCGACCTTGATGCAAATAATTTTGTTTTTCAGATAACATTCAAAATGGCCGACTGGCGGCCATTTTGTTTAATGAATGGGCTTCTAGACCCATATTTCCAACTTGTTTTGACTGATTATGTTCAAATTTTAAATATTCATTATACATCATGTCATAGATAGACAGATATATTGGTTTGACGATCCTATTCAAAATGGCCGAATGGTTGTCATTTTTGTGCTAAAAAATCATCAAATATCAAGCATTTCTGGATGGATTTCGTTCAAACTTGGTACATACATTAGACATTACGGGTTCCTGATGCACGTCAATTTATTTTTCAGATCAGACTCAAAATGGCCATTTTATTTTAATGAATGGGTTTTCAGACCCATATGTCTGACTTGTTTTGACTGATTATGTTCAAATTTTTAATATTCATTATACATCATGTCACAGATATACGGATATATTGGTTTGACGATCCTTTTCAAAGTGGCCTAATGGTGGCTATTTTTGTGCTAAAAAACTTTTGTTTTTAGATCGGATTCTGAATGGCTGACTCGTGGCCATTTTGTTTTAATGAATGGGCTTTTAGAGCCATATCTCTGACATGCTTTGACTGACTATGTTCAAATTTCATATATTCATATATATAATGGCTGATTTTGTTTTAATTAATGCTGTTCCAGAGCAATATCTCTCAATACTTGTTTGACGATCAGATACAAATGTCAATCATTTAAATGTTAAACAATCATCATATTCCAGACATGTTTATATTCCAGCTATATTACTATAAACAAAACTTTATGTCTTAAATTTGATAACTAACGGGGACTGTGCCATGCATGGCTTGTTCAATGTGATATGAACATGTCTCTGTTCATGTATATTTGAAAATAACTTTATGGGAGGAGTGATTTATTCATGTTTTATTTAAAAAAGTTGTATATAATATTTGGGATTGGGTAGCTCAGGGGGTCCATTGCTCGCAATAGATAGTAGCTCAGGGGGTCCATTGCTCGCAATAGATAGTAGCTCAGGGGGTCCATTGCTCGCAATTATAGTAG